TTGGGCTCTGATCTGGAGAGAGCGAAGCATTCTCCTTTCTCATTCTTCATCCAAGGGTTTCCAAAGAGGGGTTGTCTGAGGACTTCGTCTCTTCTTTTGGGTCCTATCCTGTTCTTGGGAAATATGTTCCTCCAGTTGTGTATGATTTGCGACCATAGTGATTTTGTGGGTTCGCCATCTTGTGCGTCAACTTGAGCTAGTTGTCGGTTTAGGGTTGTTTTATTCTTGGGAAGAGGCCAGTATTTGTTGTAGACCCAGAAAATTTCGGTCATATTGTCAGGAGATTTAAAAGGGGCCATCTCCCTGATGTGACTTAGGGCAAGCGGTGTCCAATGTAGATTATCGTGAAATGATATTCTCAAGATCCACTTGATTTGGAGGGCTTGGATCTGCCGGGCTGGGTCAAGCAGACCTAGACCACCTTTGGCTTTAGATTGGGTAACTGTGTGCCAAGCTACCTTGTGCATGAAGTGTTGTTTGTCTGGGTCTCCTGTCCACAGGAAAGCTGCAGCTTTTTTCCTGATCTGGCTTTGGAATTCTTCTGATGGGAACCATATGGAGGTGGCATACCACATCATGGCTAGGATTGAGTTATTGAGGGCTAGTACTTTGCCTAGTAATGAGGTGTGGACGTTCTTCCATGAGTGCATTCTATTAATCACGGATGATAACCGGTACAGGAAATCATATTCTCTCCCAACTACTGTTTTCACCCGAACAGGACATACAGCCACTATTGCTGCATCTAGACTGAAACTTCCCCCAAATACAGCTATAATGACCGTACGTTCTAGTTGGGGGAAGATGGTAGACACAATCCTGTTACCATCATGACCTACTCAGGTAGCTACCGGACTCTTGGGTAGCTACTGGAAATGCCCTATCGGGTCCCTGTCAAATTCCTTTCCTAACCCCGTCCATCCTCCTGTTTCCCATATGTTCCCCTAGAGCCAAGTTTCAGCTGTGTCCCTGAGTCCTGGCCTATTTACTTTTTTTTTTTTTTTTTTTTTTTTTTTTTTTTTAACAGAACCTGACGGTTCTGGCTCCTTTTCCATTCTGGGGAGCGTCAGTCCGGTTACTATTCCCCCGGCAAGTCAAAGGAAATTACAACATATACTCACTCACGCTCCTTCCCTTTATGGTTGGAAGGCCCGAAGGACGGCATTGATTGCTTCTCTCAGGAAGGATGTACCATCCTTCACCCCTGCCTAAGTTGACCTGGTCGATGTACTGCCTAAGTTGGCATGGTCGATGTACTTGTCGCGAATGGTTTTGCTCCGTCCTCCTTCTCGGCTGTTTACGGATATAAACCTTCCTATGGAGGTTGACTCTATAGTCTACAGGGTTCTTCTCAGCTACTTGGCTATCTGGATGACCTGAACTGCTGGAACCGCTAGTTTGGTATCCCTTTGTGTCCTATACTAGTCTTTTCGCCCTATAGTCTCAGGCCTTGATGTAACTTTACTTCCTATCCTGCTAAACTTGGTAAAAACTCTTGTTACTATAGCTCCTTGGGTAGCTGTGGAATGAAATTAGCTCTGTTCAAGACTGTCAAGCAGGGTGCCGGACCTGTTAGCTGGACATAGAGAGTGTATGTGGATGTAGAAGGATGGGTGAAAAGGTATTTTGTTGGGGTTTGTTGCTATGGTATCGGAACACGGTGCGAGGGTATGATTAATTAGCGTTAGGGGTTTTAGTGGACACTCCAGGCAATATGGGACCGGGGATGGGGAGAGTTTTCAGGGGGCTTGGGGGGGCGCTGGTGTGGGTATATCTGTGTTTGGGGAAGACCTCAAACTGTGGTATTATGGTGGGAGGTTGCATTTTAATAGGTGTCCAGGTTTTTAGTGGTTATTCAGGACAGAATGAGGCTGCAGATGTCTGGATCTTCCAGAGGAGGTGGGGGTGATGGATTTGTTGGGGGGGGGACCTGTGTTGGGGGGTGCCTTGGAGTGGGATCTATCATGAAGTTTTAATCTTGTTGTGGGCTTGGCTCTAAATTTGTCCTTTGGGCTCAGATCCTCTGATCTGCCGCCTCTTTACTAACCGACCCCTGTACTAGATACAGAAATACAAAGCGGAACACAGAGTTAGCGCACAGACACAGACTTGGACTCCGAACTTCAACAGCACAAGCACACAGGAATCCATACATAATCTGCAGGACACACAGACAAGAAAAAAAGCAAAGCGGACCAATGGAGAAGCTGACTCATTTTTCAAACAATGCCATCCAAGTCTTCAATAAAACCAATCATCAACAGAAGCAGCAAATGACAATGCGCACGAAAGCAAAGAGGATGAGCCGAAACATAAATAAGTCTTAATAAAATCAATAGCCAGTTTAGCAACTCCTAACAAGACATGATGTCCTCCAGTCTCTCTTCACTTCTTCCCCCAGTCTTCTCCCTCGATTTGTGACCTCTCAACC